GAGCCGGCCGCCGGAGCTGCTGCGGGGCAGAGCCCAGGTGACCATGCGGGGGATCCGGGCTAGCCCGCCGCACGCTTCGGGGAGCAGGTAGCACACCAGGTGCACGGCGGAACATGGACTGTCTCCTGCTTGTCGTCTGGACTTTACCTGTTGCGATTCTCAGCGGCAGCTCCATGCAATTCCCGACTCTCCCGTGGCTTGGAAGCACTGTAAAGGCAGGTCGAGAGCACTTTCTTTCGCAGTCGCCTCGTGTACTTTCATACCAGGTTACTGCACAGTTTCTGGTGCCTTGTCTTTCTGCCTTCCCTTGTCAAGTAAATCTCGCCCAATACTCCTTTTCTCTCTCTCTTTTTTTTTTTTCTCTTGCAGACCCTTCAGCTGTGCTGCCTCTGTTGCATGTCTCATGCAGCAACTTTAACCACTGACAGCATCAGTGAATGGAATCATGGTTTGTATAGCTCTTTCTGTGTATGTGTATATGAACATTTGCATGGATGCTTTTTTTGGTGGACTAAGCATTTAAAGGGAAGAAGCCACAGTGTTCGGGGAACATAAAGTGAAAGCAAGTTAGCTGCTGTAAAATAGCTAACTATGGGCAGAGATTAACTTGTTAAGCCCTGTGTGCAAAAGCTAAAAGGAACGATATGTAACAGCAAAGCAAATGAATGAGATGGTAAATACATCCACGTTTACATGTGCGATTAGAAAGATGAATGTGTATGTAGCCACAACAACAAAACCTCATGTGTCTGTTATGGAAGCAATGAGACAAAAGTAATGAAAAGATTTGGGTGGGAGAGCGGAAGAAACTGTGCAATGCAGGCTAAGGGAAAACAAACCTGGAGAGAAAGGACTTGTGTGAGCGAGAGCACAGGAGCTGTTTGTTCCCAGGTTGCAGAGACTAACACTTAGATGCTGATGACTTTGGGAAGTTTGAAGTGCAGTATATGCTTTTTATTGGGTGCGAGTGGAAACAAAATACAATAGAAAACCACACCAGCGTGCAGAAAGGAAAACCCTCTTGCACCCTATCGTCTGCTCACTGGGGGATTCCCTCTCTCCAGCAGCTGCTTGCATTTTTTGGCCACCAGCCTGCGTAGCGTCCTCAACTTCTGCCATTGATTAACACCACTCAAGGAAAGTGAAAGTTCTTGATGTATTGTTTCCACTGTCTAAGGAAAAACAACCTATCACTGGTTATGTTTTCAGCTTAATGTGTGTCCAATAAAGTCTATTCAGGCAAAGAGATTGATAGTTTTTGCAACATCTGTTACAACACAAGAAGGAGAGAGTTTTCCTCTTTTTTAAGGGTGTTATTTCAATTTAGGAAGAGAAATTGATTGTTTTACTGTCAAATGCACGGACATCTTTCAGTATTCACAGAGAAATACGGCTCAAAAATGAAATGGGGTTGTGAAGCAGTTTATTCAGCGTAATTACTCATATAACCAGGAATAGATGCAAAGGTCCTAGTTCAGGAAACGGCTAAAATTCAGACCCAGCTTCCAGGATATAAGTAATCCCTGTATGGCTTGATCAACGGCAATGGTAATGTACTTCAAGCTAGGCACCTGCGTACGCAGCTATCTGAATCATGGCCTCTATTTTTTCCATTCTTAGGTGGTTGTGAGTAGATCTTAGTCTTCTCCTCACAAATAGTTTTGTAATTTTTCACATATTTTATCCAAAACAATAAACTTCTTTGATGTGCAATTAGCAATGGCTGACTAAAGGTTATTAGGTAGGATGTAATCTCTTTCTGCTGAAGGTCAGTTACAATTTGAAACCCAGTCTAATCGAGTCACTACAAAGAGATGAGGTCTCACTCAGTTAAGGCATTAATAAATTAATCCTTTAATCCATTTGAACAAGTGGTACAGTTCTACAAAGTCTCAGTCATGGCTACCCCTACAGTGATATAATATTTGCTGCATTCTTAGGGAAA